TCCCAAGGCACTGCATTGGGCTCCAGCTACCCAGTTCAGAAAGTACCCAGTCATCTAAAGTCAAGCGGCACAGCACCTAACTTCAGAAAAGCGTTTGAGTAGAGAATTATTCCTGTGGGAATTTAAATAAGGATCAGATTTGCTAACAGTTTTGTGGATTTGGCATGTAGCTCTCTACATCAGAGATCACTGAGACAGTGTGAACTGCAAGAGTTTTATGGTCTGGCCACTCCACTCAGGGTTGATTAACACAGAGAGAAATTACACAAGTATAACTTGAGAAAACCGCTACAGTGAAGACATGCCTTTTGGGATGTTAGCCAGCTTTTTTATTCACATATTTATTTTATTTTGTGTACGATTTTCTGTATCTATCACACAATTTCAGGAGCGACTCATTTAGGAAAACTTTTAGGCTGCAATACTGCAAATATTTTGTCTAAATAGGATAGTGCTTGTTCATAAGGCACTAAACAAAACACTTGAGATTATAGGTTCCTCACATAACTCCAACTAAGAGCTGCACATTTCTCTGCATTAACTTTTTTCACAGATTCAGAAACATATTCCTACTCATTTTAAGCATTAAATGCCTTTCCCTTTGTTTTCTTTTTGCTAACTTAGCAATTGATATGGTTTTGCTTGGAAACACTAGCTCTTTAAATAGGAATAGCTCATGCTTAGTGGCAATAGTTGATAAATTATAACATGCCAGAAATATTGTGCATGCTTCTGAAAGGCAGAATATTAATGTCTCTCCAGATGTGTCTAGAAATTAAATAGCATTTTTTTGAGGTGCCAGAAGTTTTTAATAACCGATCTGAAGAGTCTATAATTTAGGACACATTATAATTTAGTATGAAAAAAACCCCACAGATTACCTATAGTCCTATACCAGCCACGAAACAGAAGTTGCCTAGATTTTCAGAAGGCACACATTCCCACCTAGTAACATGTTTAGTATATTACGTGTTCTATTACAGCAATAACTCTGCCATAGAATTATTTCAGACTTGAATATTGGTTTAGGTGTTGTCACAGCACTGGTGCAGGACAGTTCCCAAATTCAGTTATGTGTATGATTTGCTGAAGATTATAATACCCAGAAATGCACCTTCCTAGCATATATCAAAGACAGATTTACATAAGCCCCTCATCGTACCAGTTCCCCTCTGTCCTCTCCTGCTCAGGAGTAAGGCACTCTGCTGCTGGCCACTAGAATCAAGGCTCACCTTAGCTGAGACCCCCTGCAGTAATGGTGAGTGCTGGTGGGATGGCTGGGATGTGACTCCTCAAAGGCAGAAGGCTGTTTTCCCCTGAGTTAGCTCCTCTGGCTGCCACACTGGGAGTGGGGGGAGCCAAAGTTGTACCTGCTTATCAGCTCTTTATATCCACTCTGTCACCTAGAGGAAGAAAACAACAGTTCTTTCATTTTCCTATGCAGAAAGTCACGAGGTTGACAATTGAGGGTGTAGTAGTTCAGCCCTGCAGCAAAAATTCAAACACAGCAGGAACACTATAATAAAAAAACACTCAGGAAGAGACACTATTCAAATTCCAATTACTGTCCTCTGCATCTGCCTATACATTTGGGTTCAGGTTCTCTAAAAATTTTGGAATTCATTTAAAAAAAAAAATCATTATGCTTATCAGAGCATAATGTCTTATCAGAGCTCACGTCTTATCACAGAAAGCCTCCATTTCAAGAATTTTTTTAAAAGAACTGATACTGAGACAGTAGGTGAGAAGAGCATAGTGCAGTCCCGTCTTTAAGTGTTCAGAAATCTAGCAAAGAAAGTTGGCTCTGAGGTGGGTCGGTTGGGGGCCATCCTGAAGGGATCTGTCTCTGCAAGAATGGCCATTTTTTTCCAGACTGCCTTCAGAAAACACGGCATTTTTGTATAACCACCCACATCACGTTGCTCTGGAAAAGCCTTCTTCCCTCCCACTTCTTCACTCTTGCTCCTGTAGCAATACTTACTCTCCGGTGTTCAGCGACAAAACTAAGATCAATTCCAGAGGAATTAATTTCACGAGAATACGGGCAAACTTTTAAGAGTACAGCGAACCCAAACTTGCTGGCTGTCATGCAGGCGCACAAAATGTTTGGGCAATGTTGCTTCAAATCAGTATGGTCATGTTTGAATTTTCAGTTATCCTGTTTTATTTTCAAAATGACATTCATGCGTCTGTTTTCACTTTACTGTTTGCATGACGTAAGTGATTCACATTCTTTGTCACTGCACTTATAATACTAAATTGCAATTTAATAGCTCATTAGTGGCAGTAATTGCCAATATCTTGCCAAACAGCCTGTGTCCACTATAAATGAAACTTGCATAAATTGGAAAGGGGTATTTTGCTCGTAGCAGAGGATGAGAATAATTTATGCTATAAATAAACACCTTGATGTGGCTAGTAGTGTTTAGATGACTATAAAATGTCTCTTGTGTAACTAGGAAGCACATTTTTGTGTAATTAAGAAAATGAAGGAGAATTAAATTTTGAGGGAGTGCAGGTGGTATTGCCACCCTATTGTAACGTAATACATACTGACACTTGCATTATTTTTATATGAAACTATTGTAATGTTTAGGAACAGTTTTTATATTAAGCTAGAAATTGATATATTTTAACTTCAGAAATGCCAGCAAAACATAGTTCTTAAAAAAAGAACAAACCCGAGAGGTAGTTTTAAAAAAAAAAAAATCCACCCTATATACAGTGTTTCCATTTTGCAGTGTTCAAAGGAAACTGTTTGGAAAGTGATTTAAAAAAAATTATAGATGAGTGATTCTTCCCCTTTTCCCACAGAATATAATTCATGAATACCTAAAGCTTTGTGTGCTTGTTTTTGGCTGTTTGCTTAGAAACTTTTCCTAGTTGAGAAAATTCTCACAAATTATAGTATAGCAAAGGTTTCACATCAAAAAGCGAAGACAAATGGAAAACAATCTATTTTCTCTCAGTTTTAAGCAGTGACAAATATGAGAGACTTTGGGATCCCCAGTCCAAACACATACACTCACATGCATACTTGAAATAATTCACTCTCACTCTTTGAGCTGGAGTAAACTGAAGAAACAGAGGTGTTTATGACCACTTTTGTCTTAGAAGAAGTGCCCTTATCACAAGACAGTTAATAAATGAGTATGTTCCTCTGGTTTAAATATTTATCTAGGCTGGTGTTTTTCCCTGCAATGCTGGTACTTCCTTTCCACTCGCATTTTTGAACTCTGTCATGGCAAGAATTCCAGCCAAGGCTGTACCTCCGCTTTCTCTTTCAAATCCTGCCCAGGTTTCTAACAGCTGCCAGCTGAAGCAGATTTCACCTCCCATGTCTGCACAACTGCTTAAAAAGTGATATCAACACCCTATACTAAGACAGAGTAGAAGGAGTGTGAGTAGCTGCTTTTCTGGAGACACAGATACAGGGTCATGTGAGAGAGCCAAGAGTCCCTGGAGAGCATGAAATTGTGAGTTCTGCTTTTTTGTCTTGTGTTACATTGCTGGAAGGTTCTTTGCAGTGGTAGTGACTGCAAACCAGACCCTGTACAGGAGCTAATCAGCGTGGCTGCATTTCGCTTTGGTGCCTTTTCTGCAGAATGGATGCTGGACCCAAGCGTTGAACCACAGGATACGGTGTGCAGGGGTGCTGAGAAATGGCAGCAAGCTGCCTCATGTAATGAATTTGTCATGCAGCCACCTAAAACAACTCTCTGGAAACACTCAGTTCCAGTCCTTGTTTCTCTCTTTTGTACGACAACTGTTCAAGATACAGAAGTCTTATTTAGGTCCTTAAGTAGATTTCTGAATCTGGCTGTAATAGAATATCCCAGCACAGGCAACTAACTGGTATTGTTCACCAGGTTTTATAAATAGTGTTCCTGAAAAAACGTTATTTCACAGAGAAACAGGAAGGAAATGCCCAACTCTAGAAACATCACTTCTTCAGTAAGGAGACAGAGCCATTTCTAAACCCCTCGCATTTAGCAGCAGAGTATTTTTATGACCTCACAGAGTGCAATGTGCACAAAATAACAACCAGCACCCAGAATAATGCAGAAGAGGGCAGAAAGACGACTCCATAGAGAGGAAGTACCGTTTTCACTGTTGCCTCTGGAGCGCGTGACCCTTACATAGGTAAGTGATGGTTCCTGGAAACCTGAGAGTACTTCTAGGGAGCTGCCGAGCCTCATCTTCAGGACATTAAAGTTTAGCTCAAGGTAGAAAGGTTTTTCATCACGAGGTGTCTAAGCAGGACTTTAGGATTACAGCTGCCATGCCCTGTGATTATCTTAGGCACTAAACCCACACTTATCTTAAGCACTAAAATCCACAACTTTTGAGTTCAGCGCAATTTGCAGAGTATTTTTTCAGCTGCTTTATAAGGATCCTCTTCTGATGTCACCTGGGCCTATGACACCTCTCTGTGCTGTCCTCCCACAGCAATCCAGATACTATACCTTTTGGAGAACCTCTTTTGTCCTGCCAATCCTTTCCTACGGCTGTGCTCTTCTTTCCTGATGTTG